AACCTGGGATTTGAATGACATGTCCTGGTCAAAAATAACACCAAGGTTCCTTACTTTGTTCTCGGAGACTAATTTAATGCCATTCAGATCAGGTGATTGACTAAGCAATTTCCTTTTCTGGATTTCTGGTCCAAAGATGAGAACTTCCGTCTTGTCATGATTTAAAAGCAAAAAGTTTAGAGTCATCCAATTTTTTATGTCCTCAAGAAGAGCCTGTAATCTACCTAACCAATTAGGTTCATCAGGGTTAATGGATAAGTATAACTGAGTATCGTCAGCATAACAGTGAAAGTTTATCCCATGCTGTCTATTAATTTTACCAATTGGGAGCATATATAAAGTAAAAAGAAGTGGTCCAAGCACTGAACCCTGTGGTACTCCACAAGTAACCCTGGAGTATGAAGAAGATTTGTCATGTACATTTACAAAAGGAAATCTGTCAGACAGGAAGGGTTTAAACCAGCCTAGTGCTGTTCCTTTGATCCCTACAACATGTTCAAGCCTTTCTACAAGAACATTGTGATCTACTGTGTCAAAAGCAGCACTGAGATCTAACAAGACTAGAACAGACACAAGATTCTTTTCTGAGGCCATGAGAATATCATTTGTAACCCTCACTAATGCAGTTTCAGTGCTGTGATACTCTCTAAAACCAGACTGAAATTTCTCAAACAGATCATTAGTGTTTAAATGCTCACATTCTTGGATGGCCACTATTTTCTCCAGGACTTTGGATGAAAATAGAAGGTTACTGTATATAATAAAGTCTGGGGGAAAAGGAAAATTACCAAAAAATTGGAAAGAGGCAGTGATCATTCCGATAATTAAACATGGGAAAGATCCAAGTATTCCGGAGAACTATAGGCGGATAGCTTTAACGTCTCATATAGGTAAAGTAATGGAAAGAATGATTACGGATAGGTTAAATTATTATTTAGAAAGTAGAAATTTGTTAACGAAATATCAAAATCGGTTTAGGACTGGTAGAAGAACGATGGACGCCATAGTGAGTTAGGAAAATGACATTAGGAAAGCACAAAACAATAAAGAGAGTTTAGTTATAGTTTATTTTGATATAGAGAAAGCATATGACATGGTGTGGAAGGAGGGCTTGCTGATCAAGTTAAAAAATTGGGGATAGAGGGAAGAACATATGATTGGATTAAGGACTTTTTGTTTAATAGATACATTCAGATAAAAATAGGTGATAGATTGTCAGAGGGTTATAGAGTTGACAATGGGACGCCACAGGGAAGTGTGATCAGTCCTGTTCCATTTTCTATTATGATCAATGTTGCGTTTGAAGAGATGGGGTATGATGTTGGGAAAGCATTGTTTGCAGATGATGGAATATTATGGAAAAGGGGAAGGAACGTTCAATACTTGCAGAAGAAAATTCAGGAAGCAATAATTAAAGTGGAGAATTGGTCTTTAGAAATGGGGATTGAAGTTTTCGGTGGACAAAACAAAAAGTATGGTCTTTACAAAGAAAAGAAATGTTAAGATTGAGCTTAAATTATATAGGGAACCTTTGGAGCAAGTTCATAGTTTTAGACATTTGGGTGTAATATTTGATGAAAGGTTGATTTGGAAGGAGAATATTAATAACATAGTTGAAAGATGTAAAAAGGTAATAAATATTATGAGGTGTTTAAGGGGTAATGATTGGAGGGCTAGTACCAAGGCTTTAAAACAGGTATATATAGCAATGATCAGATCGGTTATTGATTATGGTAGTATTGTATATAGTTCAGCAAGTAAAACAGTACTGAAGAAGATTGAAGTTATTCAAAGTCAGGCTTTGAGAATTTGTTGTGGAGCAATGAAAACCACACCGGTAGTGTCCTTACAAGTGGAAATGGGGGAGATGCCATTGACTCTTAGATTCAAGTTACTGAAATTAAATTATTGGGCTAGTGTACAAGGTAGTACAGAGGATGAGCATATGGTTAAGGGAGAGTTGAAAGTAGGAGGGCAATGTTTCAATGGACAGTATGAGAGTATGGTTTGGAAGTCGTGTAGATTGGCGGAAGCCTTTAAATTAAATGATATGGTTGTTCTTAAGAAATTTTTATATTCGCCTACTCCATTTTGGTTATTTCCAAAAGTGATGATAGATTTTCATTTCACAATGTAATTAAAATACGGAAAGGTGTGGGAAACTGGGATAATGTTGTGGAAGAAAGATTAAATGACGCTCATCAATCATTCATCCCTATATATACTGACGGGTCGAGAGAGTCAGGAAATTTAACAGGGTTTTCTTTCTGGATTCCGAAATTTATCATAAAAGTCGAACATCTAATGATCTGTCAGTATATACAGTGGAAATGTTAGCCATTTCATTTAGTTTACGGTGGATAGAACAAAATGGTGTTAGGAAAAGTATTATTTGCTCGGACTCCATGTCTGTATTGTTGTCAATTAGAGAAATGTCAGCTGATAAGAGGTCAGATATTTTGTATGAGATATTTGAGTGCTTGTTTAGGTTGATGAAGACTAATTCAGAGGTTAGATTTATGTGGGTTCCAGCTCACAGTGGAGTAGAGGGTAATGAAATAGCTGATTATTATGCAAAGCAGGCAACGAAACTGGATACTGTGATGGAGGTTCCATGTAGTGTTGCAGAGGTGAAATCAGTTATTAGACCGCAGATTCTGGATGAATGGCATGAGCAATGGATAAGGGACGTGAAATGAAGACATTTATACAAATTAAAGGGAAAGGTTGGAAGAATGGAAGTCATTCAAATGAGTAACAGAAATCAAGCAGTGATAACAAGGATGAGAATGAGACATACAGCTTTGAACAGTACACTTTTTATTCTTGGATGGCATAATACCGGTATGTGTGACTGTGGACTTGATAGGGAAACCGTAGAACATGTATTATGTGCTTGTGGAAAATATGTGGGTAATAGGAAATTGTTGGTCGAAAAATTAAAAGTTAAAGGATATAAGGAATTTGAGTTGAGTATTCTGTTAAATGGGGGACTAGTGGTGTATAAGTTAGTCATAGACTTTTTAAGGGACAGTGGATTACTTGATAGAATTTAGCTTTTTTTTAAAGTAGGATACTCCCCACTTCGACTCACACTCCCATTCAGTAGGTGGCGGAAATGCACCTGAAAGTTGGTTGCCACCCGCCAATTAAACAACAGAAGAAGAAGAATAAGAATAAGAAGAAGAAGAAGAAGAAGAAGAAGAAGAAGAAGAAGAAGAAGAAGAAGAAGAAGAACTCCGGTGCTGGTTGATACTCTCACCAAGGGTAGCTTCCAGCCCAGTATGTCTCCTGAAATTCCTGCGAACTTGTCCTATGAAATCCTGTGTGTTCTTGTTTGTACCTCGCCTCGTATCCTCTAACCACGCCTGGAGTTGTATTCCACGTCCTGCCGTTCAGGATCCTCTGGCCTCTACTCTCCATCACTCGCCTGCCTGCCAACCTACACCCTGGACTCATACAACCATCGCCTGACCACCTCCTCTTCAGTCATCGGTCCTCTCGCCTCTCCTCAACTGATCTTCACCCAGTCCACCACCGCTAAGCCCTAGTCTATGACCGTACAATTCTACACAGAAATGGTTTATTCTCTTGGTTCTCTGTTCCGGCACAAGTTTCACGATTGTTTATTCTGTCGTTTTAGATTCCAGTCCCGTACTGTTCCTGTTTTTCTGGAGCAGTGCCTTTAGTTTTCCTTATCCTCAGTTAATCATTTTACTATTTTACTTACCTGTTTTTTCGTGTGGTTCTTCATGTCCTGGGTTAAACGGCTTGCCCACAACATGACAGAAGCATGGATGGACTTGCCATGCTAGGTGATATTTCTCCCACTGCAGTCACAGCCCATAAATTATTTTATTGTGTTTTACTGTAAGCACCTGTTGGTGTGTTTTTACTGTGAATATATTTATGGTCCTTTGATCTTTTACTGTTTATTTGAGTGTGAAAGAGATGTTGAAAGATAGATTTCTGTAACTGTTTTGGTGTCGGACAAAAAGTTTTCTATTCTACTCTGCTTGGCCAGGGAGCACACTGATAATGATAAATGATTATAAATGACCCGAACTTGTATTGAACCTTTCTGAGTCAGAGGACCCGAAAGTGCTCTACACTACCATGTATCATTGATCCATTCACACACTGACCAAAGTTACACACACAAACATAACAAATGTCATAACATAAGATACTGGCAAACCACGCAAGGCGCTCATTTGATCATTTGATGAGCAAACCTGCAACCTTCCGATTATTGGACAACGCGCTCTACCTTCTGAGCTACTGCTGCCACTTGCTGGTAATGTGGATGAGGCACTGCGGCCAAATAGAAACCGAAGAGAGGATGCAGAATAGCTGTTTATTTGTTTGTTTTGAGTAAACAATTGAATAAATTTTTCTGTTTGTGTGTGTGTAGACCACTGCATAAGCAACTTAGTGTTGGTTTGGTTGAACATAGTTTTTGTGTGAAAATATAGTTTTGAAGTTCACGAGTAAACCCTTCCGCTGCCGTTTCACGGCGCTGATACATCCAGTGTAAAACTGGGGTTACAGTAAGTCATTATGATGACTGGAGAAGAAGTGGTTTTAGTGTTTTACTTTAAACATTCCACGGTGGGGTAAGAGGGGACATTTCCCTCTGGGATTAATAAAGTATCTTTGAATTTGAATTGCCCTCTCAAATAAAGTTCATGCTCTCCTAAAACAGATTTGAATCAAGAGAACTCACTTGAACATTATGCGTAGGAAATGATCAGAGACATATTTAGCCCATGGTTGAATGGCTCTACATAAGCTCATCTATGAGATCATATACAAATCAAATTATTAAACTTCCTGTTATTTATATTACCATCTCCACTATCCCAGTAATGGTGTCAGCCCTCCCAATCAGTTCTCATTACATAGCTCATCAATATTTTTCTTCAATAGGCCTGTTTGCTTTGGTTGGTTCAATAAAGATATTGCTACATTTGCTGCCAACAAAAATGAATGAAAACTAATTTAATTGATTTAATTTATTTTCAAAATTTACAAAATGACAAACCATGGTGGGAAATCTATTGATCTAATTAAGTTTATTTGTTATCATAAACATCATCACTAATGAACCAAGATCTAGTTAACAAACCGTTGCCGCATGCGCTGTGATACGAGGGCCTGAGCAAAATATCAAACACGCCTGAAATTCGTACGAGCTTATGATTGCTGATTGGAGGCGTGTCGTGTGTGTGTGTGTGTGTGTGTGTGTGTGTTCATGTCTGCTGACTTCTCAAACTCCCTGTGAGTTGCACTGGATGACTTCTCATACTGAGCCAGACTCTCATGAGGTTATTCCTGTTAAAAGGGAGTTTTCCTCACCATTGTCGCTACATGCTTGCTTAGCACAGGGATTGCTGTAATGTCACTGACACTAGTCAGTGACTCAATGCAGTATACTGGGTTTTCTGACATAGGATTTTTTTTAAAACAATTTGGCTAAATGAACTGAACTCAATTAGAATGTTTTACTTTGTGAAGTGCTCCAAGACGACTCTTGTAGTGATTTGGTGCTATATAAATAAACTGAATTCACGTAATATTTTAGTAAATGATTTAAAAAAATACTTTCAAATAATGTAGTTGATTATGTAACATGTATGTCAAAGACGACCTTATTTTCAGCAGTTGGGTGGGTTCCACTGACCTGTGAACTGAGCTGACCTAAAAAAAAAACCTGACACAGCTGAAACAATGATAACAAAATGTTGTCTTCCAGTAGAAGGATGGCCTGTTGACCTTCAAACCCCCACTCCTCAACCGAGAAACTATCTCCAAATTTCAACGTCCCTTAGAAAGCTGTAGTTCTCCATCTGGGTTTTTTTTCTGCAAACTCACAGCTGGATGTTTACAGACACTTTCATTCTCTCCATCAGCTGTTCACACAGAAATGACTTTGCCTTCATACGGCTTTCTGATCACAGCTGTAGGTGTCCTCACCTGCCAGAAAACACAAAGGAAAACTTTACCCACATCATTTTAATGTGTTTAAAAAGAGACAGTGACTGCAAGTTAACTCAGACTAGAACTCTAAAATAGAGATCCTTCATGTATACAGTGGGATGCAAGAGTTTGGGAGGCCTTGTTAATCTTCATGATTTTCCTGCATAAATTGTTGGTTGTTAGGATACAACATGTATCATATAGGAAACACACAGAGATATTTGAGAAGTGAAACAAAGTTTATGGGATTTACAGAAAGTGTGCAACAATTGTTTAAACAAAATTAGGCAGGTGCATAAATTTGGGCACATCTGTCATTTTATTTATTCCAAAACCCTTAAAAGTAATTATTGGAACTCAAAATTGGGTTGGTAAGCTCAATGACCCTTGACCTCCATACACAGGTGGCTCTAAATACAAGAAAGAGTATTTAAGAATAGCAACACGGGGGTCTCAAAAGCCCCATTCCCATCTGTACCGGGACGGCCCAGTCCGGGTAGCCCCAGCCTGGCCCGGTTGTTTCCACACATCCTTGCTTAGGTATGCAAGGAATGCAGTCAGAGACACTTTCAGCTTCTGGGTAATCAGCATGATAATGAATTGAGCTTGCCTTAAGCCCATGTGGGCTGATTCTACCCACCAATCAGAGGCTTGCTCTAATGGAAGGTGTGAATTTGCTGTCAGCAGTGGGTGTGTTGGCCCTGGTCGGCCTGAAGCAGACCCCCTCGAGAAGAGGGCTGAGAATGAGCCTTGGTTGGCCCGGGAAAATTCCAGGCCACCCAGATATGTAAACAACCTACGCTACCCGGCCCGGGCCGACCCGGTACAGATGGGAATGGCCCAAAAACAACTCTCAAAGGAAATGAAAACAAAGATTGTTCACCATCATGGTTTAGCGGAAGGAAACAGAAAGCTGTCTCAGAGATGTCAGCTGTCTGTTTCCACAGTTAGGAACATATTGTAGAAATGGAAGACCACAGGCAAAGTTCAAGTTAAGGCTTGAAGTGACAGACTAAGAAAAATCTCTGATAAACAGAAGCAAAGAAAGATGAGAACAGTCAGTCAACCCACAGACCTGCATCAAAGACCTACAACATCATCTTGCTGCAGATGGAGTCACTGTGCTTCACTCAAATATTTGGCACACTGTACACAAGGAGATGCTGTATACGAGAGTGATGCTTTACTCCGCCCACAGCACAAACAGCTGCTTGAAGTATGCTAAAGCACATTTGGACAAGCCAGCTTCAGTCTGGAATAAGGTGCTGTGGACTGATGAAACTAAAATTTTGTTATTTGGGCATAACAAGGGGCGTTATGCATGGAGGAAAAAGAGCACAGTATTCCAAGAAAAACATCTGCTACCTACAGTAAAACATGATGGTAGTTCCAGCAGGCTGTGGGGTGTGTGGCCAGTGCAGGGACTAAGGATCTTTTTAAAGTTGAGGGACACATGGTTTCCCTTCAATATCAGCAGATTCCGGAGACCAATGTCCAAGAATCAGTGACAAAGCTGAAGGTGCTCTGGGGCTGGATCTTTCAACAAGACATCGACCCTAAACACTGCTCAAAATCTGCTAAGGCAGGCTATTCAATTCCAGGCCTGGAGGACCGGTATCAAGCACGTTTTCTTTTTAACACGGTTTCAACACACTTGCTTTCAATCAGCAGGTAATGGACAGGCTTCTACAGAGCCTGATGAGCTGCTGCACAGGTGATTTAACCACTGAATCGAATCAAGTGTGTTGGAGTAGAGAAACCACTAAAACGGACTGGATACCAGCCCTCCAGGACTGGAATTGAATACCACAGTACTAAGGCATTCATGCAGAGGAACAAGTATAACGTTCTGGAATGGCCGTCTCATTCCCCACTGGCAGTGGTGGGTCGTCCATAGGGGGTGCTATAGCGCCTCCTCACCAGTCTCACAGGAAAAAGAAGAAAGAAATCCCAAAATATAAAAAAAACAACAACATAGAAATTAAACTAAACAATCTCTTCATCATACAATCTGCATTTTAGTGTAGTTAAAAAAATGTTATTTACACTTTTACCACTACCGAAGCATCTTGTGACGTATTTCATGTTACTTTTGGGTGCAGCAGCCTCGACCATAAACCTATGCTAACTGGTGCGCTGGATCCTCCCATTACATACAATAAGAGAGCCTTTGGACACAGGGTATAATGCCCGCGAAGACATGCACAGAAGACCAACAGGGCAGTCTCAGCTCAGGTTACAGAACCGGAAATGCTCCACAGTTCACCATCCTTGGTTGCTGTAGAGCAGTTGAGTTCACCTCGTGGATTTTTTTATTTTATTTGAAGAACCAGAAAATTACAGAATGTAGCATTAGCGACTTTTGAACACACTCCTGAATGTCAAAAGGTGGATTTTCTTAAACCGGCAAATGTAAGATCAAGTTAAGGCTTTTGACTTAATGAAATTAGCTTTGTTTGTTTTATTGCTGAATTAGCATATAATGGTGAATATGAATATTAGGTACATTTTTTGAACGATTTTGCCGTTACCGTCTGTAGGTGTGACACATAAGAATGGTGATTTGGCATTTCCTAGTGGTGATATGTGGATAGCGCATCGGAGTCGTCCCAACCACAAATTTCAGACTTAATTGGAAATATGAGCGATGAAGCTATTTTTAATACAATCATAATGTGAACACCTTTCTAATCCTGTCTAAGGCTGTTATTTCTGCAAACGGAGGATCTACTAAACATTGAGTTAATTTCTTTTTTGTGGTGCCCAAATGTATGCACCTGCTTACTTTTGCTTAAACAATTATTGCACAAATATATATTTCTTTCTGGAAATCCTATAAACTTTGTTTCACTTCTCAAATATCACTGTGTGTGTGTGTGTTTCCTAAATGATATGTTTTATCCTGACATTCAATGGCTTACGTATGAAGGAAAATCATGAAGATTATACAGGCTGCCAAAAACGTTTGCATCCCTCTGTAGATGTTGTCTTTCTTAAGCACACCTGACTGCAGCATGTCATGGTTACCAGAAACATGTTGATTATTAATCATTTTGAACAATTCTTGTTCAAAAAGGGAACCCTCTAATACATGCAGGATACTGGCCCTCAAAGGCCTGGATGGCCCTCCTCTAGTCTGAAATATAACACTGTTAAATATAGCTCTGATGAAATATAAATATAGCTATATAATATTCAATCAAAAAGTGTTGTCCTATCTTTTGGAAAACAAACACAAAAGGTGCTAAAACAGTCTGTCATTGTAATACTGTAGCTTAATATGTTAATGATTGAGGCTGTTGCTCACTAAAAGAGATGGATATGACAGAATCACTGACAGGAGTGAACTTAAAGCACTTACATTACAAGCAATCACAGCATTTTTACACAAAAGTCAGCCATATTGATTTCTGAGGTCAGATGATCGTTTCTGACTTGAAACAGAAGCATTATTATGAGTTTAGAAAACATGGAGTTGAGTTCACCTGGTCTCTTTGCTTGATTCTTTTATACACAAATTCAGAAAAGGGCTGTCTGTGGATGAATGTGCCATGTCCCGGTGACACCTGCAGCTGGCCATCGTCATAAACCACTTTGCCTCTGGAGATGGTGATCAGAGGAACTCCGTGGCACTCCATGCCCTCAAAGATGTTGTAGTCTACAGCCTGGTGGTGGGTCTTAGCTGATATACTCCTACAATTATAAATATATAACATGATTTGGATCACAGCCTTTATAATTTTTCCTCAATTGTGCAGTTTAGTTGTATGTTTTTTAAGTGAATGTCACAGTGTGGGAGTGTTTGGTGAGTTGGAGCGAGCAGAGCCAGCGGTAGAGGTGAAATAAAAAGTCCTTTAATAATGTGCTTGGACGATGACCATGATGAACACAGTGCAAGGGTAACTGGAGGATAACACAGCAGGATTATTACGGTATCAGTGCACCTCCCTTGAACATGGGCATTCTTTACATTTCTGCACCTACAGTGAGGTATCATCTTTGGTCTTGTGCCTAGGATGTTTGAAATTACTTGTCAAGTGTTGTTTCCTGCAAACTAGTTGCTAACTTGCAGTCTTATCATTTAGTGCCATGCAGGGCTAACACCACTCTCATTTTAAAGAGCTTCACATTCCAAGTAGACATGCATTTATTAGCATGTTAAATAATCAACAACAAAAGCAGAACAAAATGAAATAAAAATAACAACTTAGCAGTGTTCACAAATCTTCCGCTCCAAATACCTCATTTAGTTAGCAGCATCATTTGATGTGGTTTTAATAACTTCCTCATTAGGCTGGCTTCTCAGAAAATGTAGAAGGTCTCTTCCTAATAAATGATGATGCCTATCAAGTAAATCAGATCTGAATGAAAGTAGAAAGCACCAGGGACCATTCTGACTCAGTCTCTTCTTAAAAAGTCCTGAGTGTCTTTAGCTTCCCAGAGTCCTCCTTCACTCCATTTGCTCATATTTTCTGCTGATTTGGAAAGCCAGACATTAGTGCACACCGACGAAAATAAGATGTGTCCTCATTATTCAAGTAGCCCAATAATGAGAAGAAAATTACAAACATTCCCTCAGTCTTTCTGGTAATGCAACTGTTTGCGGTCTGTGAACCCAGATGTTATGAGATGACACTTGTCCTGGGGGCAATTAAATACGCAGTTTCACAGATGAATTCACAGCTACAGCATTCAAACATGAGGCAACCTCATGATGGGAACACAGTTGCATCTATAGCTGTGCATCAAGAGTAAAGAAAGAAAGCAAAGACTGGATTATCAATTTGAAAGATAAAAATCAGTTTTGTTTATTCACTGCAGAAAGGAAGAACTTTCCAGGTTCCTCAAATACGCTAAACCAGCAAACTCATTTAATGCAGATCGGGCAGAGGTTTAATGCATTCTTCACCAATTCACATGAGTTGTCAGTGATCTCCCAGAGGGCCTCTATTCAGATCCACAGCGAGAAGAGCAGAGCACTGACTTCCTCAGTTATATAAGCCTGACTGTGCCACCGTGCATATGCATTCCTACAAACTCTCCTATTATAGTGCCTGTGTTCTGCTTCATATCAAAGCTTCAGACAAACAACGTCAAACCTTACTCACATTCGTCTATGCAAGTACTGTTATATTTAAGTCAGTCACTGGGAATAGCTTATTCAGTGTTCTGCATGATGCCTATTGGTTTATCTCCTACATGACTATTTGTCACTTCTAAGATCCTCACTGTGACCTATCAGCATCATCACACTGATGCATCCAGCTTATGTAAGTGGGTTAAATCCCTTCCTAAAAACAGCAGTTTCCAAATAAACTCATCACCAAATATAGACAAAAATGAATCATCTCCACGTTCTCTGCGTCAGATTCATATGTAAATTCCTGCATTAATTTGCAGCTGTAGATAAGTGGTGACATCCAGACTCTTGGCAGCTGTGCAGAGGTAATCAGCTTATGTGGTGTGTTGAGGTGTCTCATCATAAAAAGATAGATGGTTTTTTTTTAGTTGGTTGTATCTCAAACCTGCATGCTTCCTACTGTGAAACGTTATCTTATTTCCACCACGACTTTGATAGCCTGAAGACATGCTTTCAAGTTCATCCAACACTTCAGCAGTTAGAGATGATGAAGCACCTGACTGTAATGCTTACTACTCAGTTTTCAAAGCTCTCTGTCTTACTGCTGAATTTGAAGCCCTCACCTTTTCATTTTAGGGTCCCATATAACCACATCAGCATCTGAGTTTTGGGCGATTCGGCCCTTCTGTGGGTAGAAGTTGAAAATCTTTGCTGCGTTGCTGCTTGTCACGGCCACAAATCGATTCTCGTCCATCTTGCCACTGTGCTGAAAGGAAAAAAAGCACCATGTGTTTGATTTGAACATATATGGTTCGTGACAATATGACGTATGATTACCCAAAAATTTGTTAAGTGTCACTATGTTGCAGGACATTCACTTCTAGTAAAATATCACGTATGATGTGAAATTTGAAAGCACTCTGATGCAAGTTTTAAATAGTTCCAGGGGCCTTGGAGCAGCTCGCCTGTGGCATGAGTGCAGCGTCAGCTTTCTGCAGCGCTCTGTGGCTTACAGAGTTTATAGCCTTTGCTGATTGCATTGCAGAAAATAATAGAAACATGTTTTTCACCTCTATTGATATACAATAAGAGAGTAGATTAGAAAGTAGACTAATTGATTTCAGGTTCTGGATTTAAAGAGGAAAATTCAGACTGGGCTTTCAAGTTCAACACATTTATGTACAGCACATGTGTGCATAAAACTACAATTGTTTATTCTCACAACAGCCCAGTTGTGATCAAACAGTTTAAGAATAACACAAATTTTAATTTGTACAAAAATCTACTGCCTCACTTTTTATGATAACTGTCTGAAAAACTCCAGAGTGCTGTGAAGAGAGACCAGATGAATTATAGTTAGCTGCTAAGACAGTCATTGATTCAGCTGTTTAAGGGTTTTGTCTCAGATCAACTACAGGTTTTCATGTGGACATACTACTCCTTTCTCCCAGATGATGGACATCCTGTCCTCCACACCATTCACTCCATTAGGGATCTTAGTGAAGTCATCTTTTCCCAGAGCTTTCTGACAAACAGAGAAGGTGCAGTTGTCTGTCCCTGTCACACTCAGATCATCACTAATGCAAACAACAGGACAAAAAGGAAATTAAGGAATTAGCATTTAAATGGATATAAATACATCAAAAACAGTAAGACTTTCAAAATGTAAGGCCTATCATTTATTGATGGAATGCAAATCACATAAGTCAAATCTTGAAGACAATGTGCACAGACTTGTAAGATCTCATGTCGGGCAGCTTCATTACTGAAAAATCATAAAACTGATTAGTTTGGCCAACACTGAAATCACAATGATTAAACCATTAAATGCACTCCATTGAAAGATCCATAATCTGAACTTTACACTCATGTAGACAGCAATTAATGAAAATGTATCTTCTATCAGATCTATCAGCCAGACGAGGGAAATTTTGACAGATAGTGATGCTATTAAAAAAAGAAGAGCTGCTACTAGAGCATCGGGTTTCAGGAAAACATTGTCAGACATTAGAACACAGAGAAAGACGCATCAGATTTCTTTTAACCTTTTCACTGTCCTATCAGGCGACCCCTCCACGACAGGGGTGGTTAAACATCGTTGATAGTTTATCCATTGAAAAGGGTGATGTGGTACATTCCTATAAAAATAAAAATAAAACACCTGGGGCCCATCTGACCCCATTAACAATGCGGGAGAGTTAAACATCTATTGGAATAGTCTAAAGAATACCCCTGTCAGATAGAAATTACTTAGAGAGAAGCACCCTGCAGATGTTCTAAAATGTACACTGTAATGGATATCTATGGAGGAAGTAAACGGGCAAAAAAATGTAGGGATTTTATCAAGGAGTACTGATACTTGGAAATAGAACTAGACAAATATCTCTGGACAGCACATCACAGCAATTAGATCTCATAACTGAAACTGTTGGAGGGGTCTTTATTGATGCTCGTTAGACAGTGTTGGTGTGTTTTGTCATTTCCATAAACAATCAGGACAACCGTGAGAAACATCTACCGTAAGTGGAGGTGGAAGTGTGTCAGTCAGAAGGTAAGCTAAAAGTTTCTTACAAAGACAAATGTTTTTATTGACTATTTGGATCATAAACCAAATTTAGATGTAAAATGAATATAATGGACAACTTTGATCTCACACTTTCTGTCAGCACTTGTGTGTTGAATGACTATAGGCCAATGCCACATCAACTTAGTTGGTGAGTAGTACAATATCCTTAAAACAGTTTTGCCTTTTTTGTAATTCTTAAAGACCAAGTTTACTTGTGTTTTCAACACATTTACAGTGGTCTCTTGGATAAACTTTTTGAGTCAATCTCTGTGGGAAAATGAAGTCTGGGGCTCCCGTTTCAAGAATAGGAAATGAGCCAGGGGAGAGGTATGCAGCAGACAAAAAGTATTTTTTCCTGATATTTGGACATCTTGCCTCTGATTGACTAACAGCAATGCAGCTCTATCACAGACTCTGCTTTGCAATGCTGATGTTTTATCTCCACAAATAGCACAAGCCTGAAGAAGTTTTGTCATGCTGTGGAGTTGCTAATGCTTGTTAGCTTCTACCAGCCAAGACATTCTCTCCTGAATGCTAAACCAGCAACAGCCTTCTTCATCAGGAGCCATGATGGAAGATTCCATGAATGCTAATCTAACATTATGACTTGCAAAAATCACTGGCTTTTCTAGCCCGAGCATTTCCCTGTCTATTTTCTATTGGCTGTTTTCTAATGCAGGAAATAGAAGACTATGTTCATGTTCATGTTTGGCCTGTGTGTTAAACTCATAATGACCTATCACAATTAAAAAATAAAAATGATTTGTTGGTAAACTTGGTCTTTTAGCTTGATTAGCTCACGTGGCCACCTTGCTTCTAAAGGTAGTCAGTTATAGATGTTAATACAGTAGTTACCTTCTTAGTGATTCAGATAAACCGTAGTGAGACAACTGAACAAACACAATAAATACCCAAACAGAAACCACTATTATGGTAGGTAAAAACATTTAATCCCAGATGCTGTACCATCAGTTGCACATACTTAGCTAGCAGGTCCATGAGAAATCCTGGTGTGCTGGGGTCAGGTCTGAGAGGAGGACCCATAACAAAGCCTGCAGCATGGGCCCACTCCTTGTGCCAGTAGTTTGTACCATCGGTGCCTAATCCAGCTGCTATTGGCTCCCCAAATACCACACGGCCTTTAACGAAAAATGTTTGTGATTTCAGCTGCATAACATCCCTCTGCCACTGGAAAACAAGCCTCATTCGGTTTTAGATGAGGATAATTTAGGGTGCCAGTTTAACCAATAGGTGGTAGCAGCACACACTCACCATTTCTGCGTGCATTAGACACCACCTTGGCAGCAGATTTACTCATGACATGGACCACATAGAGGGGACAGTTGACAGCATGGGCGATGGTGATGGCTCTCTGGGTGGCCTCGGCCTCCACCTCTTCCGGTCGGCAGAGCTCATGACCCTCGGGTCCCGTGATACCCAGGGACAACATCTTCCTAGCCCCCTAATAGGTCCCAGCAAGGCCACGTGCAACAAAGCAGGAAAAAAATTCAATTAAAATGGAAGAAATTCACAACATAAAGACCTATAATAATAATAATAATAATAATAATAATAATAATACATTTAATTTAACCCTCTCAGGCTCAAAATACCTTTTGATAAAAAGACGAACAACTACGTCCTTCAGGGGTACTTCTGTGTTAAAAAAAGCTCATGAAATACGTATGTGGAGTAACCAGGTAGGTAGGTTTTAACCTTGCAAATCTGCAACGCCTGCCTCCAGAGGGTTAAAAGCGCCTTTCAGGACATCCAAGGTCATTTCACAAGTTGGGGAGCAGCCAAAATGGTGAAGGAGTAACTCATCTGGTGAGCTCTCACTGATTTATTCATTTTAAAAAGTTATTTTTTGTTGATTCTTTTGAGGCAAAACTCCATGCCAGGAAGTTTCTTGTGGAAACAATAAGTCTTTACTGACTGTCAAAGGGGATTCTACAGCTGGAAAAAGAACCACTGGTAGACCAATCCCATTGAGCAGGAAAGCAGATTAGTCAATTCAGTTCAGTTTATGTATCTAAAGCCAAATCACAAAGAGGCGTATCAAGGCACATGTCACAATCTATTGTAGCATAAAACATTACTATTAAGATTGCGCAGAGATTCTTGCCCACGCACATACCTGTGGCCAGCCTCTTTATGGTGGCTCATTGGTCTCAGTCTTCCCAGACTACACTTCAAATGTGGCCAGGGCCTGAGCCTCGTTAGCTGATGTGAGGAGGCCTCTTTGCGGTTAACAGGATGTGGTACGTTCTGCTTTTACTTGCAGGGCTCTGTGACACCCGTGATGGACTGGATTAAATATCCCTAGACTCTGAAGCTGCCATAGAACACTTAAAGAAAAACATTGCCCTCAAATCGGACACTTAAACGCTTTGGAGCTGCTGTCTGCACGGTGCACATGATGTATAGGTTAGGCTGTGTTATGACATTCTATTTAGGTTTGATGGGACCTTTACAGTGATTGTGGTCCATGTGATGTTCTTGTTGGATGCTGAAGCGGTTTTTGCTAAGGGCCTGATAGTAGACTGAATTTGTGCATTGCCGTGAGATGGTGTAAAGATTTGCTGTTTAACCTCAGATTGTTTTTGTCTTATTTTCATTGGGATTTGCTGGGAGCCTGGGTGACTGTGGCTGGGACTTGGTTCCTCTGTGTAACCACATAGATGTGTGGAATTTTTGGTTGGGAGAATCTGTTATCTCCAGTTGTTGTTAGATATGTTTGGGAATTGGAGGTGTTTTTTCAGGGGAAGATTATTGTTTCTGGGGTTCGGGTTAGGGTTCGGGTTAGTTAAATCCCTTAACAATCCTTTAAAATTGGCAAGGGCTCATTAAAAATGACTTAAATCAGATATTGCCTTTTTACAGGAGACATATTTGTTCAGTAGATGATTCTCGTTTTAAGAAAAAACAAGAACATGTGAAGTACCACATGTTAGAATAGGACATCCTTAGCATCATCAATTCTTTGTCTGATCCCGTTAAAGAGCAAATTGCAGGTTAGAGACTCCCATGAACCAATGTTTAGAGAAACATAATAGAAACTCGTTTTAAACCTTTTTTACACAAACATAAATTATTTAGGCTTTTAGAGTCATTTTTGTGAGAAAGTTTTTTATTTATTTTTTGGCCAAACCAAGTGACGTCATCTGAGGGAGTCCTGTTAGCTTAATCCAGAGAAAAATATAGATTATAATGCCGGCTCTGACACAGAGGAAACTTTAAATGTTTACAATTATACTCATGATGGACCCAAACCATAAAGTTATGAGTTTGCTGCACGCCCAAGAGGGCAGAGACAAACCAGAGTGAGAAACCATCGACCAAAGCAGATAGATTAAGGAGGAGCAGTAGCGGGGGAGCAGCAAGTGTCTGGTGAGTTAACCATGTTAGCTTAAACTTGTGTGCTTACATCACAATATTGTACAGATTACTGTCATGTACCAGACAATTAAAATAGTATCGTCAGTTAATATAATATTAATACTAATGAGCGTCTGTCAGCTTTCTCATACTCCTTAATATCCGTTCACCTAACATAGTTTAGCTTAGAGAGAGGGAGAGAGACGCCTGTCATCTGGTTCTGGAGCTCATGCAGGCTTCTGTGAGCTGGATTTGACCCAAATACGAGTGAGACAGTCGAGCTGGTATTTTTAAAAGCCGTGCATCCTCTCCTGGTGGTCCAGGCGGCGGTTCTGACCCGGTTCCAACTCGGAAACCAGCTGGCCCGTTGGCGCGTCTCTTCTGGTGGTCGGTTCTGACCTGGTTCTGACGGTGATCGGAGCTCCAGAAATCTGCATTAAATTTTTTAAACCCCTCCTCGAGTCTCCGGAGCCCAGCACGGACCTCTCTGTCCCGGTAAAGACCGATGTGAGCTACAGAAGTCCGTCTTTTCAGCTGCACAAAACGCCCTCGGCACGGAGATAGAGGCATTGTTTCTCTTATCAGGAAACCCGTGGACTCAATGTCCAGACAGGCTGGAGTTGGTACAGCCTTCACACACTCTAGTTTACCAACATGAACACAATTCAACACTAGTAAACACACACACACTGACTGGATCACATGACCTCTCTACCCTAAAACTAGCCACTCTCCACATTGAGCTGAGGCAGCGCCGAGCTTCTAACTCCCTTTGGTTACGTCATAATTCAGATTTAGAAAAAAGCTTTGCTGAGAAAGGCCACGTTCTACTAGAAAAACCCTGCTGTTATGTATTTTAAAACCAAATATCCACAATAAGCTTTTTAAATAGTATTTTTTGGACAGCATTTTAGGTTAATTAGAAAAAAAATGTAACCTGCAATTTGCTCTTTAAAACTCCAACAGAGTGGGTGGATGGGTCTTCCAACTTGTCTTTTTGAACTCTCCCTGGGTGTGTCGGTTGAAGCCTTCTGGGGGAGACCATCAACCTTTTAAATCCCTGAATGTCAGGAATTTAGCTGCAGCATTGATAAATAAGTTGCATAATGATGTCAGTGACACTGGATTAGCAACTAAAGTAAGTTTAATTATCTTTAGTAAAGTCACAGCTGGTGAGGCGAACACAATATTTTCACATAAATGGACCAGAAGGTGAAGCAGAACTACTGCTTGAGAATACACACATCAGAGCATTTGCTGCCCTCTGGTGGTAACTTCCTACACAAACATTTGTTAAAATTGGACTGAAATAGAGGTAGAAAGGAACGTTTATCCAATCAAATTAAATCCGGCTTTAACTTAAACAATACTTATAAACAACCAGCACAGAACCAGTTTGTTTTACAGTAAAGTTAGCTCAAAGGGATAAATAAGACATATTAGAGCATCGAACTGTGTTTTTCAGTGGTCAGTACTCTAACCTGAGGAGTTTCTGTTTAAATCTCCTCAGGTATGTTCTGTTGATGGTTATTTAAACACATGAGTACAATGTAAAAAGTAGAGATGAAACAAAACGAACATCAACGTCAGCAAAACAAAGGAGATAGTGATAGACTTCAGAAGGAAGTCACCATAGACTTCAGAAGGAAGTCACCTTCTACTACAATGATGAACATCCAGGGAAAAGACATTGAGATAGTGAACTCTTACTAGTACCTGTGTGTTCGCCTCAACAATAGGCTGGACTGGACTACAAGCACAGACGTCCTTCATAAGAAGGTCCAGCACCGTCTCCACCTACTGAGCAGACTGAGGCCGAGATTAAATGAACAACAGAGGCCTCAGAGCTCAGCGGCCCGGGAGGAAAGCCGAGGTGTTTACAAAAGCTCTGTATGAATTGTCTGACCACTGTGACTTTAGTGCCTCTGTAGATGAGAACATTAGAGACCAGATAGTTGTAGACATTTTGGACAAGGAGGTGTTTCGAAAACTACAGCTAACAAAGGACCTGACACTGGCGCTCACTATTGAGATGGTGAAGGAATCTGAGGAAGTTGCCACACAAATAAATCTGCAGGGTGAAGCAGCAGGAGTTTCAGCGAATGAAGTGAAACAAGGCCACACCAGATACCCTGTTTACCATGGCATACTGAGGAAAAACAATGGCAAGGACATTGTGGGTGGTGTGATAGAATGAGAGACCGCACAGAGAAAACCTACCCAGCTTAAAGCTGTGTAATTCCAGTCACAAAGTGGGACACTGGAAGAAAATACACAGGCGCAAGAAAGCAATAAGAGATGGTCCAAGATGGCGCTGCAGATAGATGCCCTGGTACTTTGGTGCGCTGGTTTTCTTTTGATTTTGTGTGTAAATTGCGTGTCTGGGTTGTCCTACTCCCAAGAGGAACTCATAAACTACAACAATATGATACCGGTGGATTTATCCTTGATTTTTGTTGCATCCGCGGCAGATTTAATTCCAACTTTGATCAGGAGAGTGAGATGCCGAAATAGGGGAAAACGAGCGAGCAAGCTTGTGCGTCTGAGGAGACGGGTCTTACGCACGGCTCTACCTGGGATCTTCCTCCCCAAAATGCATTCACCCCACAGAGAATTGGGTGAGCTCACCCTGATGAGAAACATTAATGGAGACTTTTCCTCATCTTGTGTTTTATGCTACATTGAAACATGGCTCAGTGAGGAAACCCCGAACTGCCCACTCCAGCTGGAGGGATTTAATTTCCTCCGCACTGATCTGCAAGCAGCTTTCTTTGGCAAGACCACAGGTGGAAGTGTGTGTTTTTACATAAATAATGGTTGGTGTACAGATGTTACAGCGATCGCTCAGCATTGTTGTCCCTCTCTGGAACATCTTTTATGAACTGTAAACCGTTTTACTCTCGATGGGAGTTCGCTTAATTCCTTCACGAGGCTCAGCACGTGCTCGTGGAAGAGATTTTGTGCATGGAGCGGATGTACCCGGACTCCATCATCATTGTCCTGGGAGATTCTCACAAAGCCAGTCTGAGCCAAGAACTTCCCAAATATAAACAGTATACTAGAAAAATTGCATTTATTGCACAAATGCTGTTTGAATGCTGGATAGCTGAAACTGTAAGCTGAAGCTGCTGAACAGCGTAACTGAAGCTGAAACAAAGCAAAACTGTCCAAATGAGCTGAATGTCTTGAAAGATGTAGAAGCAAAAAGCACCAACAAGCAAATAAAGCACAAAAAGTAAGTGAAGAATAGAGAAAAATAATGCTAAATAGCAAAAAAAAAAAAAAAAAACTTTAATCTGTGAACATTGTATAAAAATCTGGACAGCTTAAATGTCTAAACACCTGTTATATCAGTTGGACAAGTTTAACAGTTTAATCTTTACATTTAGCTGAACTGTGAAATTAGCAGTATATGCAAAATTTGCTAACTGATTGCTGAAGTTGTTGAATAGCTGAAGTAAGCTGAAACTAAGCTAAACTGTTAAATGAGCTGAATGTAGTGAAAGATGTGAAAGCAAAAAGCACAAAGAAGCAAAAAAGCACAAAAAGTAAGTGAAGAATCAAGAAAACTAATCCTAAATAGCAGAAAACTCAAATCTGTGAACACTGTTTAAACAAATTGGACAGCTAAAATGTGTAAACACCTGTTATTTCAGTAGGACTAGTTTAACAGTTTAATTTTTACATTTAGCTGAACTGTGAAATTAGCAGTATATGCTAAATTTGGTAACTGATTGCTGAAGTTGTTGAATAGCTGAAGTAAGCTGAAACTAAGCTAAACTGTTAAATGAGCTGAATGTAGTGAAAGATGTGAAAGCAAAAAGCACAAAGAAGCAAAAAAGCACAAAAAGTAAGTGAAGAATCAAGAAAACTAATTCTAAATAGCAGAAAACTCAAATCTGTGAACACTGTCTAAAAAAATTGGACAGGTAAAATGTCTAAACACCTGTTATTTTAGTAGGACTAGTTCAACAGTTTAATTTTTACATTTAGCTGAACTGTGAAATTAGCATCAAATGCTGAATTCAGAAACTAATTGCTGAAGCTGAAACTAAGCAAAACTGTTAAAATGAGCTGAATGTTTTGAAAGATTTAGAAGCAAAAAGCACCAAAATGTAAATAAAGCACAAAAAGTGAAGACCGGACAAATCAATCCTAAACAGCAGAAAACTGAAATCTGAACATTATTTAAAAATCTGGACAGCAAAAAGGTGTAAACACTTGTTGTTTGAGTAGGACTAGTTTAACAGTTTAATTTTTAGTTGAACTGTGAAATGAGTAGCATAAGCCGAATTCAGAAACGGATTGCTGAAGTTGTTGAATAGCTGAAGTAAGCTGAAACTAAGCTAAACTGTTAAATGAGCTGAACGTAGTGAAAGATGTGAAAGCAAAAAGCACAAAGAAGCAAAAAAAAAAAGCACAAAAAGTAAGTGAAGAATCAAAAAAACTAATTCTAAATAGCAGAAAACTCAAATCTGTGAACACTGTCTAAAAGAATTGGACAGGTAAAATGTCTTTAGCACCTGTTATTTTAGTAGGACTAGTTCAACAGTTTAATTTTTACATTTAGCTGAACTGTGAAATTAGCATCATATGCTGAATTGAGAAACTATTTGCTGAAGCTGAAACTAAACAAAACGGTTAAAATGAGCTGAATGTTTTGAAAGATTTAGAAGCAAAAAGCACCAAAATGTAAATAAAGCACAAAAAGTGAAGACCGGACAAATCAATCCTAAACAGCAGAAAACTGAAATCTGAACATTATTTAAAAATCTGGAAGCAAAAAGGTGTAAACACTTGTTGTTTGAGTAGGACTAGTTTAAGAGTTTAATTTTTAGTTGAACTGTGAAATGAGTAGCATAAGCCGAATTCAGAAACGGATTGCTGAAGTTGTTGAATAGCTGAAGTAAGCTGAAACTAAGCTAAACTGTTAAATGAGCTGAACGTAGTGAAAGATGTGAAAGCAAAAAGCACCAAGAAGCAAAAAAAGCACAAAAAGTAATTGAAGAATC